TCCCAGGAATGCAAGATTAATTTAACTTTGTAAATTTAACAATGTAAATCATTATGTTAACAAAATAGAAGAGAGAAGCCATACAGTCATCTCAATAAATACAGAAAAAGGTTTTAATAAAATTCAACCCCTATTAATGGTAAAAATTCTCAGCATATTAGGAATAAAAAATAGTCTTTCTTAATTTGACAAAGGAGATCCATGTACAAGCGATCTAATGTTACATTATATATATAAGTATAATATTAAAATAAACATAATATTATACTTAATGATTAAATAGTGATTTTCCCCTAAGATCAGGACCGAGGCAAGAATATATACTCAAATTACTTCTAGTCAATATTGTACTGGAGATTCCGGGCAATGAAATTAGTTAAATAAAAGAAATAAAGAGTATTAAAATGTGGGAAGGACGGGCCAGCCGAGTGGCGCGGTGGTTAAGAGCTGGCTTGGGATGCCAGAGGGCCCCGGTTCGGATCCCACATATGAGGGCCAGTGACACTGCCCTCTACAGCTAAGATGCTGAACAACAGCTCAACCTGGAGCTGGGCTGTCCTGAGTCGCTGGTGACAGCGTAGGCTGCAGTCCCTGCTGCAGTGGGTTGCCATGGGCTACCGTGTGTAGCCAGCAGCCAGCGTGAGCGGCCAGCAGCCACGGTGAGCCCAGTTCCCCAGCACTGTTCCCATCCCCCCAATTCCCCAATAAAAAATAAATAAATAGATATAAATAAAATGTGGGAAGGAAGAAGTAAAATTGTCTTTATTTGCCGATTACATGATTGTTTAAGTATAAAATTTCAAAGAACCCACAAACAATTACTAGAACTAATAATTTAGAAAAGTCATAAGATACATGATTAATGTACAAAAATGAATTATATTTTTATATACGGGCAGCAAATCACTGAAAAATACATTTTTTTTAAAGATTTTTATTGGGGAATTGGGGGGAGGGGAACAGACAAGTTGCTGTCTTTTTGTTCTTCAGTCTAGTTGTGGAGGACATTGCTTCACTGGCCCAAGTTGGCACCATCATTGCACTCTTCCCGGGTGAGGCATACCAGTTGCTGGCTTCTGGATGGCTGCTCATGCTGGCTGCTGGCTACACACGGTAGCCCATGGCAACCCAGTGCAGCAGGGTCTGCAGCCTACACCATCGCCGGTGACTCATGGCAACTCAGCTCCAGGTTGAGCTGTTGTTCAGCATCTTAGCTGTAGAGGGCAGTGTCACTGGCCCTCACATGTAGGATCAGAACCGGCAGCCCTGCTGCTCAGCGCTCATGTTCCCAAGCCAGCTCTTAACCAATGCGCCACTCAGTCGGCCCCAAAAATAAATTTTTTAAAAATTTCATATTCAGTAACATAAGATATTAAATATTTAGGATAATCTTATCAAGAGACATGTAAGACCTTTACACTAAAAGTTATAAACCATCACTGAAAAAAATGAAAGATGTAAATAAATAAATGAAGAGATATCATATTTGTAGGTTGTCAGACAGGGTATCTTTAAGAAGTCAATTTTCCCAAAGTTGATGCCTACTTTAAACACAATTAGAATTTTAACAGGTTTTTTTAAAAAAATAAACAGATTGTTCCAAAACGTGTGAATTCAAATACGCCAAAGACGATTTTGGAAAAGAATAGTAAATTTGGAAGACTCAAATATTTACCATTGATCTATAGTAGTAAAAAAAGTGAGATTTTGGTGACAGGATAGACAAATATATCAATGCAACACAATATAGAAACCAGAAAGAGATGCATGAATACATTGTCATGTGATTTTTGACAAAGGTGTCAAGTCAATTCAATAAAAAAGGGAAATCCTCAAAAATGGTACTGAAGTAACTGGAGAGACATGGAAAAAATAAAGTTCAAACTTACTTAATGTTAGATATAAACTAAATGTAAAAGTGAAAAAATATTAAAATTCTAGAGTAAACCATAGAATATTATTTTTGCATTTTAGAGGCAGGCAAATATTTATTAGAGATGACACAAAAGCACTAAGCATTAAAGGAAAAATATATGAAAAATTGGATTTTATCAAAACTCAAGATTTTTGCTCATTAAAAGACACCATTCACCATTAAGAAAATGAAAAGGCAAACTATAGTCTGAGTTGAAAATTCACATTACATTCATTAGATAAAGGGCTTGTATCGAAGATACATGAATTGTGTATGCGTTTGTGTATATACACACACATACACACAAATGGTACAAGTAAAACTACAAATAATAAAAAGAAAACTCAATATGACAAGGGCAAATCAAATGGTTACTTTAAAATAGAACATATACAAATGGCCAAGAAGCACATGAAAAGGTGCTCTATATCATTAGTTATCAAGGAAACGCATGTTAAAAACATAGGAAAAGGGTAAATGGGGTCAAATACATGGTGATGGAAGGAGAACTGACTCTGGGTGGTGAACACACAATGTGATTAAAGATGATGTATTACAGAATTGTACCTCGAAACCTATGTAATTTTACTAACCACTGTCACCCCAATAAATTTTAATAATTAAAAAAACAATACTGACAATACCAAATGTTGACAAGAATGTGGAATAACCCCCCCCACCTTGTTAATGAAGACATAAAATGCTAGAATTGCTTTGGAAAACCCTTTAGCAGTTATTTGTCAAGTTAAATATACATCAACTTTGTGACACAGTAATTCAACTCCTAGGTATTTAAGAGAAATCAAAACTATGGCCACAAAAAAAGATGGATTTGAGAATATTTATAAAACCTTTATTCATAATAGCCCCAAACTATAAACAATGCAAATGTTCATCATTAGTGAGTAAACAAATTGTGACCCACACACTAGTAAGGATGAACCTCAGAAACGTTATGTTGAGTGAAAGTAGCAACAACAAACATTTTCTATATGATTCCATACAAGCACAGGCAAAACTGATATATGGGAAGAAATCAGTACAGCGGTTACCCATAGTGAGTGGGTGGTGATTGACTGGAAGAAGAACCCTGGAACTTTCTGTGATGATGGGAATTTTGCGTATCTTAATAGGGGTGTTGGTTACATGCATGTATATATTATTAAATCTCACCAAGTTACACGTTTAGCATGTGTGCATTTTGCTCTATGTTAAGTTTACCTAAGAAATGAAAAAAATACTGTAAACAAATACTGAATTTTTGTTAGTCGTTTTGCTTTTTGGCAGTATTATAGGATAGCAAATCTGAAACCACGTTTTCTGTTATAAGCAAATATGCAAAAATATTGAGCCTAAATAGAAGCTATTTCTCATGTTAGAGAAGGAATTACAAATGTGTAAAAAGGGAAGACTAAAGCAAACTAAATGTAATTGGGGTGGAATTGGACGTATCAGTAGGGGGTGATGGGTGGGGGCAGAAAGGAGGGAGAAATGGAGCAAAATGTAACTAATGAGCACATGTGGATAAAAGGTATATAGGAATTCTTGCAACTTGTCTATAAATTTGAAACTGTGTCAGAATATAATATTAAAAATAAAACCGTGGAGAGCAATAAAATGTAATAGCTGTCCCAAGAAAACTTACACAAAACAAGGGAAAACAAAATAAGAAGGATGTCCTGTAATTTTTCCCTTTATGATCGTGTTCCCCCAACATGATCAAAGCTCTAGGGGAAAGTGTAATTCAAAGGTCACAATACAGTTCAGTGGGAGGGCCACATCACCCAGGTCAAGAAAAGGGGTGTCTAGAACAGTGGTTTTCAACATTGGTGGGACCCTAGACTCACCCAGGGAGCTTTAAAAAAAAATGATGCCTGGGTTTCATCTCTAGAGAGTCCATGTAAATGACCTAGTTTATCACCTGGGCATTGAGATGTTTAAGAGCTTCCTGGGAGATTTTAATGTGCAGCCAAGGGTGGGGACTACTGCCTTGAAGGGGCACTTAGGACAACTTGGTGTCCACCAAGGAAAGGAAGCCAGACGAAGGTGTAACTTGTAGCCGTCAGAGGTGATGGAAAGGTAAAACCGAGGGGAGGAATTGGATCTGAGGTGGCCAGGTGCCCGAAAGGAGGAAGCAGTTTCTCAGCAGTTCTCAGCTGTAGAACTAGGAGCCTGTGTCGGTGACCTGCTGTGTCTTTGAGTCCAAAGATCTATGTCTGGCACTTAGAAAAGGTTCTCTGCAGAGCCTTTTAGGATCTGATGTGAGGAAGGCCTTCCTGGCCAGGTCCCCGTGCAGGCAGACAGAGAAGGCTCACCTGCTAAAAACATACCTTTCAGCTAGTCTGTAGGCAGGTTCCCCAGCTAGAGTGACCAGTGCTTGGCACCAGGCAAAACTCTGTCTTCAAGGTCAAGTACAGCCGAGTGAGAGGCACTTGTGGCGCTGGTGTTCAGGGCGCCCACTGAGCAAACGTCTCTCTCTCTTTACCCCCACTCTGCAGCAGGCTGAATGTACAATTCTGAGTCAGTGTCTTTTCAGACAAAATGACCCCTATCTGGTTCCAGTAGAGGCTTTAATCAACTGCCTCTTGAAGCTGAAGTGGTGACACAATTGTTCTTCCAAGCTTGTCTTTTTATATCTTGTTTCCATGAAAACTGGGGGCTCTGAAGAGGGTCCTGTCATTGCACAGTGGTGAATAGTTTCAAACTTTATGTTAGCACCTGCTTTAAGAACTAGGCTTTGTGGTCATGTGCCAAGCCACCCCTGGTATCTTGGGATTTAGATATTATTTTAGAAGACCTGATTTCTCATGGTTTGGCCCACAGCAAGCATTGATAAGCTATAGTGTGAAAAGCATGTACACTGAGCACCTTGCCTCTTCATTTTGTTCATTTTTATCAAAACAAACCTAGGGAACTAGTGGCATTCTAGTTGCCTAGGCCATGTGTGGAGCTTTATTATTTTATTCTGTGGGTGAGTCCATTGATGGAGAGCCGACAGACTCCCAGTGATGGTTTGCAGAAGAAATGGGAATTGGCTTCTGGATAATCAGAGATGTATTCCAGGGAGCCCATTGCATGTCCACCGTCAGCATAGATCTGATGTCCTGGGATCTGCCTTGCAGTCTGCCCTGAACTTGAGGCTGCTCTGAGCCCAGAGTAGAATGGTGCCCATCGCTCTCCTCAGCTTGGTATTGCCCGAGATCAGGGTGGCTGCATGTCCCGAGGGACAAGCTGCCATTATCCCTACACAGACCATGACCCCAAGCTTATTGTGCCACAGCATTAGTAAGGGCACTGAGAGGAGGGCAGCACAATGGGCCACCAGGTAGAGGCAGATAAACGAGACCAGAAACTTGAGAGCTTTGATGTGGGCCTCCAAGCTGGGGTCGCAGGAGTTTCTGGTGTGGGCCCTCATTGTCCTCAGGTGCTGCCACAAGGAGACAGTCAGCACCCCAGAAGAAACCAGAAAACACAAGAGAGGCGGGATGGACCCCAGGCTGCAGAAGAGGAAGGAATAAAAGAAGCTGAGTTTTTCCCTTTGCAAATTGAGTTCTGTATTGTTATTCATGAAGAGCAGAGTTGTGACTGTGAAATGAGGCCTAGTGAAAAATTCCCAAGAGCAGAAGGTAGCGCAGACAGAGGTGAAAAAGAAAGTACTCAGGAGCAGCCGGGAAATCTTCCTGGAGACGCAGCTTGCCAGGCGGAGCAGGAGGGTGTGGGAGAAACGGACAATCTTGGAGCAGTACAGGAGACTGAGGCAGGTGGCGAGCCAGAGGCCAGCTTGGTGTGTGATCATCCAGAGCATGACGATGGTCTGGTAGTTGACACTCAGCGGGTCTTTCATCTGCTGGAAGTGGGTGAGCTGGATGGCATCCAGAAACAGCAGCCCGTGCAGGAAAAGCCGGCTGAAGCTGAGACTCAGCAGGACAAGATCAAAGTTGCTCAGGGGCTGCCTCCTGACCACATCCCGAAAGTTCACCAAGAAAATGAAAGCATTGGCCAGAATCCCTACTGCAAACTCCAGGACCGAAAGGAACAGAAACACTTTCTTGGCTTCGTAGGACACAGTTACGAAGGGAGTCAGAGGCAACATGATGTCTCTTCTTACTGGACGCGCGAACCTAAGACTCACACGCCACCCACTGGAGAAGAGATGTGCACGTTCCCTTCACAAGACATTCGGCTCTTGCCCTAGATCTGCGCTGCAGTGAATGCAGAGAAAGTCCTGGCAGGAAAGTTAGAGAGATACTGTTGCTCTAGAACGTCTCTTGGATGCACACAAAGGTTCCTCGTAAGAGTAGAGGAATGATGGTTCTGTCTTTTGAGTGATGCAGAAGCTTTTAAGAAGCCCGGGTGTTTCTGTGCAGCAGCCTCCCCAGAGGGCCACAGCACAGCATCACGGATGCAAACAAGCCAGGGTCTCAATTTCCCAAGCCCAGCTTTGCATGCCCCCGCACAGGTGAGAAGAGACTGGAATTTGCTTATGGGAATCGGCAGCAAGCAAAGCATATGGTCTTCATGAACTAAGGTTTGCAATGTTGCCTCTGGCCATTTGCATGCCTTCTGTCACTGCTGAGGCATGGCTCTTACTATAGACTTGGTTTTTACCATGGCCAAGGGCATGGTGCCTCCCCGGGCACCTGTGTATTCAACCGTCATTGTTGTGTGTTATGCTAGGCACTTGCTTGGCAAGAGGAGCATCACCATGAACCAAAAAACACCTTTCCGTGAAGGGAGAGGGTGGGGGGGAATATCTGGCTTGGATTATCCCAGGAGCCTTTTATTGCTCGCTCTACCTCCCAGCCCACTCCGTGACCCCATTTCCCACAAAGCAGCAGCAGTAGTGATCCTAAGGTCACGTCATTGCTGTGTTCCAGCCTTTCAGGGCCTTCCGCCTCCATCATCATGAAACCCGAGTCCTGACAGTGGCCTGTAGGGCCCACATCCATAATCACAACCTCTGTCCCTTCTCAGGTTGTCTGTGGTTTTTGCTTCGTCCTTCACTCCACCCTAGCCCCATGGGCTTCTTTCATGTCTTATGAACTCACCAGGCACCTCCCACCTCTGACCGTTGCACTTGGACTTCCCACTGCCTCAGTGCTTTTCATCTGCATACGCCAATGTCTCACTTTCTTCTCAAAAGTCACCTTATCAGAGAGACCTTCCCTGAACATCTGATAAGTGGTATTCCTTACCCACATGTCGGGTGCTTCCTATCATACTTTGCCTGCTGTGTATTTCTGCTGTTTATACTCAATTATTTATTGCCCATGCCCAACCCCCACTAAAAATGTAAGCTTCATGAAAGTGCAGAGCAGGTACTCTAAGTATTTTTTAAATGAATGAATTTCCACAAATGAAGCATTTAGTAGTTGATAACACCCTCATGGATTGTATCTAGGACATTTTCAACATTCCTGGGGGTTCTATTCTAATGCATGTGGCTGTAATTTCTGGTCTAGCTTTCTCCCCTTTTAAAAATTTCCAGATACTTGGTGAGCATTGGCTTTCTGGCAGCTCTGATTCTCCTAGTTCTCTAAGGGAATCTGGACTGATTTTATGCTCACGTCTGTGAGTTCTGGAAACAAATCTGGCTAATTACTCAACGGAGATTGGAGAACTGACCATTTCTTTATTTTTTATTTATTTATTTTTTAGCTGAGCCATTCTGCCACCTGTTGGCAGCTCAGCGGCAGCTCAGCTCGGGCCGGGAATCGAACTGCTGTTGCTCGGAGCACAAACTCTTTTTTTTAAAAAAAAGATTTTTATTGGGGAATTGGGGGATGGGAACAGTGCTGGGGAATTGGGAGAAGGGGAACAAACAAGTTGCTGTCGTTTTGTTCTTCAGTCTAGTTGTGGAGGACGTTGCTTCACTGGCCCAAGTTGGCACCATCATTGCGCTTTTCCCGG